AAAAAAAAAAAAAAAAAAAAAAATCACTCTGCCTGCAGCAAAGTAGCCCACTGTGGAGTGGTTGCAGTGGAGCCGTGGAGAGCGGTGCTCGCTCTGCCTCTGAAGAGGGGCGGCGATGCTGCGATCTGGACAGAAGATGGGGGTGCCTGTCAGGACCTCAGGCTCAGGTGTAGCTGCTCCGAAGACCAGTGTTTCTTCCCTTTTCCAGTCTTCCCTGGGTGCCTGCAGTCAACCACATCATTCCCCAGACACTTCCCAAGGCACCTGGAGTGCCAAACCCCTGTGTTTGGCACCTGGAGTGCCCCTTCTCAGCTGTACTTTGTTGAGCTCTGCTGGAGCTCCCACACAGCCACAATTCCCTGCTGCTTTCTCTAGCTCTCCCAGAAAACCTCCTCTAGCAACCCCTCTGCCTGATTCCCTCCCAGGGACTCCCTGCACCCAGAGATCTTAAGAGTGGGGAAGAGAACTCATATGCACAACCCCTGCCCCTTTAGTAAAGGATACCAGGCAATCCTGGGTACTTAGTAGCTGGTGGCTCCTCTACCCTCAGCAGCAGCTCCCTCAGTCACGATTCTTCTGCCAGTCATCCTCTCAGAAGCACTTGTCCTGGTAGCAGCCTTCTCAGAAGCAGCCCTTCTCAGCACAGCTTCAGCTCCCCTCGCCCCACACAGTCTCCCCTGCTTTTTCCCAGGCTTCCCACTCTGGAGTTACAGCTGTCCAATCTCATGCATGCATTCTGTGTACACAGCCTGCTGCAGATCCTTGTCCCAAGAGTACAAAACACCCTGATTGAGCTTGCAAGCTCTGAGGAAACCCTTCAGCACCTTTACAACAAAATAAATCCAGAGATTTCAAATAGGGATCCATTGTGTTAAAAACATTTTGCCCTGTTGTGGTCTTTTTAAAGTCATTTGCAACAGAAGAATTGCTCCAATATTTTTCCATAGTCACAGAACAACTGAACACTAAAGAACTGGCATTTTCTAAGGGGTGCCTTGAGTCTAACAAGATTCAAAACCACTTGACTATTTTTTCAGAGAACCAGGGCATTTAACTAGCACACTTGCATTCTAAAAATCAAATGCCTTAAACTAACTGAAAGATTGCTCTGCCGACAGAATCATGAACTTATTCTGGAAGATGAGACATCCTTCATAAATGGCTGCACATTAAAAAAGACATTAACAAAAAGAATGCTTTTAGCTAGTCTTGTAGTTACATTTCCATCAAACTCACCTCTTCATTCTCAAATGCATTGTCATCCGTTAAGAGCTGAAAATCGCCAAATTCTTCCTCCTGCTCCTCTTCATCTTCCCCTTCCCTACAAAAACCACATACCTTTAGATGATACTCAGCAGTGGATATGCAAGGTGCCATAACAGGATTATAACCGTTTAAGCTGGCCTTGCCACACAATCATGTCCCGTGACTCTCAAAGACAGAATACTGACCTGTCTGTTGGGAAGGATCCCGAACAAAGTGCTAGTGCTTCTGCCATTGGATCTTCTGCGTCACTCTCTTTCTCTGGCTTAGAGGACACGGAAGATGCCCATGTCGGAGAAGCCGCTACGGAGAGGTACAAGAGGACAACTTATTAGACAACTTCCTTAATCATCCCTTTGGAATGATAGCAAGGGTATATATAGCAGAAGGCTATATTCTGCATTAATCATCTCATTTACAATATCTGACCTAGGTCAGATACCCCTGTAGAACATGGCACAGTGCTACATCAATGTACCCTGAACGTCTTGGAAAATATTGTGCGCCTGAAGATGCCAACCAGTTCCAGGACTACAATTCTGAGCAGTTCCGAACACCATATTGCACAGTACTAGCAAGAACTAAAGGATTTGTTAATATGAAACTTCAACTAAAAGTTAATCTAAAGTTAAGCACAAACAGTGAAGTCCCCAAGCAGAGTCAGGACCTACTCTGAGAGACAAATTTTCCAGAACACAGATTGAGCAGTTCTTCCATGTTCTGCTTTTTCCCACTGCTAGAATTTGGAGTGCGCTCTCCATGGCTGCTGAACTGTCCAGAACACAAATCCAATAATTCATCCATGTTGGCATCCATTGCATTTTCATCCATGCTAGCCAGAGTCAGACGATGCTTTGAGGACTGGTATTTATTCCTGTGGTGCCCAACATTCAGAAACCTGAAAATAAACCTTTAGCTAAAAATTATCAATTACAATTTAACATCGGCCACATCTTAGTGAATTCCGCCTTTCCATATATACAGGGAGTTTGTCTTTAAAATCTAAAAAAATACTCCCACAAAGTTTTAACCCATAGTCATATCGTGACATTGTGAACAAATGCAATCAAGAGTCAGAGAGAGGTAATTCATGTAACCGGTTTCTTTAACTGCAAGTCTTCCAAGCCCAAACTAGAAGAGGAAAATTCAGTTTGGTTTCCCATATCATGTTACCACTAGTAATGATTCTGGCACTAGAATGCAACTATTCTGGTGATGAACAAAGGCCAAATACAATGCGTGTTCAAGCCTTACCAGGTAATACTAGCAGTCTGGTAGATTCAGAAAGCTTTGTTACATAACTTTCTGATTTTAGGCACATTTTTATAAAATCAACACTGAAACCCAAACAACAGAAAATAGATCTTCAATCCAGATACATTTCCATCCAGATACACAATCCACATATACAGTATTTGTTTTCAGTTTCTTAAGGATAAGAGAAAAAGGCAAATTTTAAAATACAAGCTACAAATTTGTGATGAAAAAGTTGTGAGAGAGAGAGAGAATGCTGTCATCTTTATAATGCAATAGACCAGATGTTTCCATTTCCAATGTTAAAGAGGTTTTAACAGAGGCAGAAGCAATGTGTAACAGTTCCCCAAGGCAACATGTAACATAAAAGGCCAATTATTTATCTATGCCTTGCCACATAACCCAAGAGCAAACACTAAATATCTCACAAGCTGAATGGTGTACTGATGTTAGTACACAATAGAACAACAGCCACTATACACCACAGACCTACCCATCTGCATCAAGCAATTGACTCTGAGTATCATCTTCCAGAGAAAACTGAAACTGAGACTCTCCAGCTCCTGGAAATAAACTCTTGGGCTCAGGGGAAGCATTATACAGATCCTGGGAATCCTCTATGGGCAGGGAGGGCTCAGATATCTTTCCAGAACTCTAATAGGAAATAAATAAAAAGTCTTTAGTTATTTTTAAATACTTCATCTTTTTATAATCCTGAAAGTTAGAAGCAAAAACACAGTTAATATTCATGGCAAGGGCCAAGAATTTTTGTGGGCGATACCTTTTATTGAATCAAATGCATGGTTGGGATTAGACTTAAAAAAAGCTTTTGGGTATCACAGTGTCTTTCCTTGGACCGTGGTAATCTTTATGGTAGTGTTAGAGTGATGTAGCTGTGATAGTCCACTGTCATCTTCAAGGCAGATCATAGTACACGCTAAAAGTGATGTCAGCAAGCATCCATAAATTTGATACACACCTTTCAGAACTCACTATTGTGAGATATACGAGGAATACAATCCTTTTTTGGATCAAACATGAACAATTATAATTAACAATGAAAAGCCATTGCTGACTAATCCAATTGACGTTTTAGACATTTTAAAAATTTTAGTTGTCAAGTCAGCATGGTCCCCTGGGTCACTCCAAAGGGCAAGTTCTATGTCTACTTTTAATACACAGGAAGGATTAGCATTTCTGAAACCCCAGTTAACCAAAGGTGTTGGTAAGTATTTGTTAAGATGACCTTCTGGAGATACAAAAGGAAACTGGAATTCTGTTTGTTAGAAACATAAAGAGTTACAAACGATTAGAAACAAAAGGGACATACCTTGGAAGCAGAGCTGATAAAGCTAGCTTTGAAAAAACCCGGAGATGGTGACCTAAAACCTCCTGCTGCAGGCAGAAAGTTTCCTCCACGTGCGAGTTTGTTGCAAGGCTGGTACGATGGAATCATAGAGCCAATCAACTCGAAGCTGCTGTTGTGGCTGTTTTCTTTTGCCAAAGTTGGCAGAGAAAATGAATCGTCATCTTCTAAAGAAGAAAGCAACGGTTTAAGGCAGGAGAGGGCAACTATTTCAGGTAGAGGGCTGCTTAACAAGTTTTGGTGAGCTGTCAAGGGCCGCATGGGTTGCCTGCCCCCCCCAGGCGCTATATTAGGACCAGAAGTCCCATCCCCTAACCTTTGCCACCGGACGTCCCTCCCCTTGCCCCCAGAAATACTTCTTTTGCAAGGGGAGGGTTGCCAGAACCAGAAAAAAAAAAAAGTCATACACTAAAACTCAAACACCTACTATAACAACATATTTTAATTTTATTACAAAAAATATGTCATGATTTGTGTTTGCATACTATATTTCTCTATATCTCTCTATAAATAAATAAATAAATAAATAAATAATGGAGAGAGAGGGGATTGCATAATAACTCAAAATAAAGTCTTACTGTTGTATAGTGTGCATGGGTGGGGCACAGAATATGTTGGGGGGGTGTAAGTCGGGGGGTTGTGGGGCAAGGTGTATGTGAGGCTTGTGGGGTGAGGGAAGGTGGTGGGATGTGAGGACCCCCCGACACTTCCTCATATGACGCGCAGCAGCAGCAGGCAGGGGCACTCTGAGCACTTGTGCCCCGAGTAGGTGCTGGCACCCAGCAACGCACAGCTCTGGCCAGCACTGCACATTGGGGTGAGGAGTGCAGCCTGCCTGGCCCACTTCTATTGTGGGGGCTCCACACAGCATGCCCACAGCTCCTACACTTGCATGGCACCAAAAGGAAGCCCTGCACTGAAGCCAGCTGCTTTCCCCACCCCCTGCAATGTAGGTCCCAAGACTCTGCTGGAAGTGGAGGGGAGCCCCAGACCCTGCTTCCCCTACCTGCTGCCCAGAGTGAGCAGGAGCCTCCAGGGCGGCTGTAGCAGCAGCCCTGCCCAGGAGCTGCTACTGGCTGGGCCGGACCCTTCCACCCACAAGGATGGGAGCGAGGCACAGTAGAATATGTTGGGGGGGGGGGGAAGTGTCTGTGTATACATGGGCGCCTTGCTCCCACCCTCATGGGTGTAAGGGTTGGGCAGGGTACAATTTGTTGGTGGGTGCCTGGTGGGCTAGATTCAGCCCGTGGGCCATATTTTGCCCACCCTTGGTTTAAGGCTTAAAATTCTAGAAATGCCTTTTTACTACGAGTGATAACAAACCAAGAAAAGTTATGATCGCATGGACTCGCAGCCATACAGGGCTACAAGTGAACCTGAAGGATGAACATGGCAGGTAGGGCCGTGTCAAGACCCTGAAAATGTCAAATTATATCCACATTACTGCTTTTCCCATACCCATTAGGCCAGTTACCCTGTAAACATGATAAAGCAAGTTAGATTGCTCTAACATTTGATCTTAAAGCCATGCTTACTATTTCTTAATGCTCTAACATGCACTATGTTCTCCCAAGCTCATTTTTAGAAAGGTATTGGAACAAACCATCTGTCTGTAAAAGTCAGACTGAAAGGTCTATAATATCTCTGGTCATCTTTCATAAATACTACATTTGCCTTCTCCAATCTTCTGGGACCGTACCCATCTTCCATCAGTTCTCAGAAATAATTAATCACTACTGGTTCAGCTAGTTTCTTTACTACCTTAAGATGCATTTCAGTATGATGAAATTTATCTGACTTAGAAATTATTCTGGAATCTGTTTCTCCCCTACTATGGTCTGTATTCCTACAACCCTTTTTATCTTTTGTATGGTCTTGCTCTTCCACTTATCAGGTCATCCTTCTTACTGCATTTCTCTGATCTTTCTCCTAACCCTGATAATGTCTCTTTCTTCTTTTCAGACCTGCTCCATTCCTTTCAAGCACACAGTTTTATTTACATATAGAATATTATATAGACTACTGTTCTGTTCCTTACTTAGCATAGGTTGCATCTGCTTCCATCTCAGACCTAAAGAAGAGTGCTTTCTACTTGAAAGCTCATCTAAACTCTCTCCTGACCATGCAGATGATCCAATAAAAGATCACCCTCAAAAATATCCTTGCTTCTTGCATATTTCCTGGACCATCAGGGTTACAACATCACTTCAAAGCTACCCTGTTCCTGTTAGCTTTAATTGTTTTAAGCATCTGGTCACACTTAAGCCTTCTCTGTCACCCCTTACATGATCTTTACCTTCCTCTGACTAATTCTGTATTTAAAGAACCTTATCTTACTTTCACTTATAGATATTGCTTGTTGCAGTTTATTTTGTCTTAATCATCCCAATGCTGTCCGTATATTTTTACATTAGTTTTGTCATCCTTAACAATGCATCCTTTTTTTGAGGGAGTAGGTGGTGCTTATTTATTTTGCAAAAATTCCCCTTTTGATTTTCAGGTCATTAAAGGTTTTCTGATGCTACTATCTTGGTCTTAAAACGTTCTATTTTTCCTTTGCATTGAGAAAGTATGATTATGCCAAAAGAGCTGCACACCTCAGTAAGTCACACTACATTTCAAATCCCATAGTAAGTTATAGCTTGTGTGACACTATCACTTCTGTTAAAATATCAACTCAGATGGCATTTTATACATCAGATCCAAGCCAGGGCCCACATACTAGGGTACAATCTAGCATCACTCTGATCTCAGGTTCCTCTCTGGTATAGCAAGTGAACAAGCCACTGTTTTTTTTCAAGTTTGATACTAAAAGTGGCACAGAAAAATGTCACAGTCCAATTACAAGTATGTGACAGCAAGACACACATATTTGGGAATCCAGGTACAGAAATGTGCAAAAAAAAAATCACTTGTTTATCAAAACCGCTAATCCCAAAAGAAATGCAAGCAATATGCAGCAGTTGCACTTTACCTAATTTGCTAGGCCTTTTGTCTGGAGCTCCCTCCATCTCAGTTTTTTCATCAGGAAGGGAATATCTGCAATTTAAAAATAACGTGTGACAAAACTGTTATTCAGTGCAAAATTGCCAGACCTTGCCTGACAAAAAAATGTTCTTAGCTGCAATATGAAAGTGGATTCTTCAGCCAAATGACAGAGATACCCATTTACTTGTATATGAAAACAATTTGCATACACAGCTGTTTGGATTGTGAAAAATAGGGGAAAAAATTCTAAAAGTTACATCCTGTCCATCTGTTATATCCAAGAGAACCAACAGGCGTTTTTGTTTTTAACAGTGCGACTGAGACAGGCTGGAATCACCCTCTTACCCCAGTTTGGAGGAGTTGTCCTTGAACAGGATCAGTGTGGATTCTGTTGAAGGAGGTTTGGAGACAGAATCACAATGCACAGACTTCTCCACCTGTTCTTCATCAACTGATTCTTTGTCAGTTTCTTTATCACCATCATCAGTACCCTTCTCTTCCAACTCATTTTCTTCCTCTGCCTCACCGAGAAGAAAGTCCACAGTCTAAAACATCCAATATACATCCATGTAATCAGACAGCAAAAAGTATTTTTTACTCAGCTGCTCAACTGTGGACTTTCATACACAAAGTTCTAACAAAAATTGGGTGGGGGAAATGAAAGAAATGCCCAGTTTTCAGACTTCTCTTCCACCCTATGCAACATAGGTACAGATGGGTCTTTGAATAGCTAAGCCATTTTGATCCTTTAAAACATCCATGACTGATGCTTCTAAATCTGAGATCAACCAGGTGATTTCAATTAAGTGTTCATACATCCTACTGAAACTTACCCACTCCCAATCAGGAGCTCAAGATACTAGCACCACTCAGTATGTCAAGGTTTTTATAGGCTTTTGTTTAATTAGCTAAATGATATGGGATGAGGGCTTCACTTCAGTGAAGGATCAGATATTGCTCAATCCACAAGGTGCAAACTGCAGAACTAATTATTTGAACCAATATGGCTAATACAACATTAACTAAGCAGCAAGAAAGGTCTGAATTGTCAAAAGGTTTGACCCACCACTAAAGGAATAGTAACAACTACTGCAAAAAACAGTGATCAGATACCTTTGTTGTTTTAAGATAAGTTTGAACTAGTGTAGGATTGGCAAAGAAAACTAAACAAGAGAACAGTGTTAAAAACAGTGAGGGGCAACTAAAACCCTGAGGGTCTTATAGTAATATGTAGTTTAAAAACAAAACTAAAACCACTTGGCTCTATTTGGCAATTCTCCAATATTAATGCTGTGCAAGTCTGATTTCTTTCATTTCTTTGTTAATTAGGAGGAATCAGACCTGAGAAGTTGACTAAGTTATGTAAAAATATGGTATACAGACCTCTTGGTTGCCTTCCTCCTCCTCCGACTCATCTGTCATCTCCTCCTCCTCCTCGTCCTCCTCCTCCATGTCCTCATTATCCAGTTTAAACAGTGCTTGCCGCTTCTGGCGTTCCTCAATCCTGCGGAGTTTCATGGCCTCCTGTAGTTTAGCCTTCAGCACTTGTAGCTTTTCACCTGGGCAGAAGTGAATAAATGAATATATTAGATGCACTACAATGAATCCTTAAAACTTTACTGCCTTCCAGCGTTCAATGTAATAGAACTACACTCACAGAAAGAAGATTAAAGGCAATAGTGCTTTATTTTATAAAAGGTTTTCTGAACTGATCTACTGGCTAGAAGAGCTAAACCTAGCCTGAATAAGCTCCATTTAGAGAGGCAACATAATCTTATGAATTATCAAGGAGATTCCTTATTACCCACAAGTGCCACTGGCACAGCTCTGTAAAACCAGTAGAAGGGCTTTCTCCCCGTTGTGTCTTATGGGAACAATGGCTTCCACTTACCCAAAGATGATTTAATAAGGCATATAAAATAATTAAAAGCAGCTAGCTAGAATGGATGCATGCCTATAGGGCTAACCAAATTACACATCTCCTTTACCATTTACATAATATAGGTAAATCAGATTAGTTTTCAGGATATTTTTTTTTTAATTTGCAAATGCTTACAAGTAAAATATGTTACAAAATCCATCTGCATGAAGAATTGCAACAGAAAAAATAGTGCTATTAAATATAAATAACACATGAAGGATGATCTACAGATTGCATATAGATGTATTTGTTCTCTACTTCTATTTACATCACATTTAGAGACTGTATCAGGATGAAGCAAATTTCAGAGCCAGCAGCCAAAATTCTAGCTGAGAGCCACCTGTTTCCCAATAGCCAACCCCCTTTTAAGATTTTTACATGCCCAACTGATCAAAAAAATATAACTGGAACAAGATGGGTTGTGTACACACATATTCTTTTCATTTTAGTTTAGATTTTTGAAGGAGAATAAATACAGTGCCCACCCCCTTCCTCCCCCACAACCCACAAATCTGCAGTACGAGAATCTGAATGCTTTTGTTCTTAAGTAGTTTTCTCACTTATAACAGTTCATTCTGAAACTGACACAGGACTGTAGGTAATTGCAACGTGCTCAGCACTTTAGATGAAAGAAGTTTAAACTATCCTTCCTCAAAATCTAAATGTGCCATAAACTTAGACCTTATTATCTAACAGGCAGACAGAAAAAAAATAAGACACTAAAAATGCAGAGGAGATGGTGAATTTACTTTTACTAAGATAGAAGCGTAAAAAGTTAACTTCAGGTTGAGCCTGGACTGCCAGGAAAGATACAAGATACTGCGTACTATTCACATTATCTGTCAGAGACAACATACTTATTTTTCAACACAATCCCTCCCTCTTCTCCCAGATATACCTGGCTTTGTGTAGGCTGTTTCATCTACATTTTCTGCAGCCAATGTCACTGGCACCACATCTGATTTTAGCTCCTCTTTTCCCTCAGAAGTGGTCTCTTTACGAATAATGTTCAAGTTTACAATCCGCTCGGTTTTTGGCTTGGCTGTCTGAAGAGTGTGCTTCAAGAAACGTGCCTTCAAAGCTTCCAGTTCTTTAAATATATATTACATTTAAGGCCATCAGTATAATACTTGCTCTTACCAAATTCATACAATGCAGCAAAGACATAAATAGGTGCAGTCACTTTTATACTCAGGCAAATCTCATTACAAATTATTCTTAGAGAAATGATGCAATATTTCAGGATCTAATCCATAAAAATGGGGGGGAGGGGTCAATGTTGTTTGATTTGGAAATATAAAGTAATACAATGACCCAAGCTCAGGATATTCAAGTGGGTACTCTAAGAAAGGTCAATGAATATAATATTTTGATATTTGTTCCAATATTATATTACTCTTAATTGAAAGCTTAAAATAACTTGATTTACTCATTGGTGATTATCATCCAACTTCATTAAAAGAGTCTCTATTCCCATAATCAGAGATCTCCAGCATTCTATTGATATAAATGTTTAAATCCACGTTGAAAGTTGACAAGTTACTGGTTTTGGGCAGAGCCCATATATCTCTATAAATTTTAAAGAAACCAGATGCTGTAGACTAAATGCTATTAATAAATATAATGTATAAATGTAAAGTTTTACTACAATTAGAGAATCTCAAAGTACTAAGCAAAATCAAATTAATACAGAATCACGATCTACCATTGAAACAAACAGCCCAAATTTTCAAACATGGGTGTCTAAATCTTTATTTAGAAAACTGCTGTACAACATGACTGCTAGTGAAATGCAGCGGAAGATTCTTATGCCCACCAGTTCTGAAAGTCAAGTCATATACTGGGCAACTATAATCCTCAGATGTTCACCTTTAGGCACCAAGACTAAAAAATGTTAGCCCTCTTGGTACCTATTTCCGGTACTAACTTACTTAACTGCAGGGGATCTGTAGTAAAAAAAAATGTCACTACACTTCTTAATAAAAGTTTCATGGGTTTTTTAAACACCATAAAAGTATCAGGCCTTCTGTTTTACATCTCATCTAAAAGAAAGTGTCATCACCAGCACAAAGCGGAAACGTAAGTTCTGCTCAGAAGGAAGTACCTCCCCCCTTTCTGAACTGTTAACATCTAGCTGTTCCCAGAGGTCTGCCTCCTAAAGTGCCGATTTGACCTTGCTTAGCTTCTCAGATCTAGCAACAGGTAATGTGGTACCTTTGTTTGATTCAGGCTCATCAAGGTTAATAAAGGAATCCTTGTCAGAACAGAGTCTTGGTTTGACAGATAGGTCGACTCCCAGCTCCCGAAGTTTATCCAGCTTGGACTTCCTTACTTTTTCAGGCTGTGCCATCACCACTGAAGCCATCTGTTGAACAGGCTTGTCACATTCTACACCTGTATTTTGCAGCTGGTCCTCTCTTTGTTCAAGGGCACTTGCTTCAGATCCCAAGGGAAGTTCACTCTCCATTTGCTCCCCACATTGACTGCTCCGGAAGTCAGAAACCTGCTCTTCTGAATTACCAGCAGTTGTTAGGCTCTCAAGAGTATCCAAGGCACCATCCTGTCTGTGCTTTTCATCACAATCTACTCTCAGATTCTCCTCCACATATGTGGAGGGTTTATCCGCAAAGGTGTCAATATTCTCATCAAGTTCTGTTTCCAGCTCCCTAGCTGTTGTTGCTTGACCAGCCTCTGTCCGAGTGTCTTTGATATTCACACTTGAGTTCTCAGTGTCTGCACTTTCTTCATTTAGGCAGGGCTGATACTTAGTAGACCTATAAAGAGCAGAAAGCAAATCATACCCCAACATACACTTTCACATCCTTAGCTTGACTGGCATGAGATGGGAGGGTGAGGGAAGGACAAGGGGGGAAAAGACTAAACGAAACAAGAGAAAGGAACAATGGTAATGTCTATGTCTGCATATAATGCTGTACTTAGTTACATGAAAAAACTAGGTTGTTTCTACAATGCCAGTTAGAGTGGTTGTGGGAAGCATGAAGATTTTAAATGCCCAGTCTTTGGTTATTTAATAATTAATACAGGATTTTTTTGTTTTAGGTTTATTTAAAGGAAAAAAAGGTATTATACTGTGGACAAGGTTTAAGTATACAACATTGTTAAATACCTTCTCAAATAAAATTTGACTTTGCATAGGGCAATGAGCTTTAAACCACAGCTATAAGTTTGAAGGACAGCATGGGATACCTTCACAAAAAATTTAGACTGGGCTAACAACAACACATTGCTCTCAAGTTTTACTCTTTATAGATTACGTAGCAAACAAACACAGCTAGGGGAAATATTCTGTCATTATATGCAAAACTAGCAGATCAACCACTTCGAACTTTGGCTCTCAAACCATGGTCTTCAGGCCACTGGTAATCCCCACATCCCAGACTTGTGGTCTGTGAATCGCTTCTTATTTTTCAGCTATTAAACTACACTAAAAGGATACTCAAGGAATATCAAGTAAATCCCTAATTTTGCATGAAAGTAGTAGCTGCAGGTGCCCCGATAGCAATACATGATTATAAACTGAAACAGAATCTACATACAAAGTAAATTCCTTAGGCAAATCAAGAACCGGACATACAAGACAACATGAGACAGAAGAGTTCCTTACTTCAGCAATGCCATTGCATTTCCCTGACAAGCTGGTCTAGGTCTACGCTTGAAGAACTCATGTATGGTTTTGGTTTCCGGCACATGATATGGGAGCGACAGACATGATTCTACCAAAGGAAATAAGAGTAATTTTAGTCACGTATGGAAGTGGCAGGCATTTTCTCAAATATTCAGATGAGCTTGGCACATGTATTTTGCAACTAAGAGATCCAACTAGACATGAAGAGCAGAGCTTAACTCCAACATATAAAACATGCAGCTGTTGGACCTCTATCCAAATGCCCACAAACTGCCCTGAAGAATAAGGCCAGCAGCATGCCCAAGAACTCAGAATAAAGTGGACTGAGCTACCAGTAACAGAAGAACAAGACCCATTCTAATTACTTGGTATAACTAAGTCCCCAATACACATGAAGTCAGTTACTTCTGGTCCAGATTTAAACTGTAAAAAGAAGTCTCCAAAAGACTTTCAAAAAGTTGTTTAAAGACAAGTTATGGTTTCTTTCTGGAAACTACTCTTGCAATGAAACGTGTATTTTGATAAAATCTCAGGAGAAACAGCTTTGCAGCTTATCTAATTTAAATTCTGAATACCACATATCAAGCAAGAACAAAGTCCACTGCTTTGATTGACACTCCTTTTCTGTTGCCTTCCTAAGGAAATTTCGTCTTACATTTAAAACAAGTGGTTCAGGTTTTACCTCTTACAAGTCTCTGGGTCTCACTATGCAGTTGTTTCATGGCTTCTTTACTTAACCTTGCTGCCTTCCTCTCCTGAGAGAAAAAAAAAGACGACTGAATATAGGCATAGTTCTACAATTTCAAAACAATGTTTTTGAAAAAGTTTTTCAAAAGGTTCCGCCCCCCCATACTTTAAGCAGCAGGAAAACAGAAGAACACAGAAATAATCTTAAAAATATGCTTGTCATGCTAGTTCCATTCTTGAGCACCAAGAAAAACCTTCACATAAAATTAATGTTATGGGCTAGTGAGAGTTAAAGGAATTAAGAAGCCTAAAGAAATGTTTTACCTTCCTCTTAGCTCTTTTCAATGTGGGTTCCTCATTCTCATCATCAAATACATGTTTGTAATTTTGGTCTTCAGAAAACAAATTCTTACCCTATAAAAATGGATTGATTAATTTCAATGCATAGCGAGGAGCTGTCAAAAGAAAAATGCAATAATTTTGTGCAATGATTTTCTGTATCATTGTAGTGAATTTCCACCTGCAAGCACTTTCAGAAACAGATATAAACATTATACTGTAAATTCTTCAACTGCCTCCACAACAATATTCTTTTTGGCACCTTCTATGACATTAGTGCTTAAAGGCGGCACTTCTGTTCCTACACCCCTAGAAACAAGACATTAGGGGCTATTTTCTTCATGTAGAAGTGGAATTGCATCAGTACCAACAAAAGATTGATATATGCGCTAAGGTACAAGAATAAATTAAGTTACCTTATGTTTTTTCACTTTGTCTTTCACTGCAGCTCTTATTGATTCTAGTGACTCTTCATCTTCGAGATGGGAATCATTTTCTTCCTCTAAATCGTTATCAAAGAGTTCTTTGTCAGCAAGAAAACACCCACTATCATTAATAGAATTTCTCTCACCATTATCTTCCTGCTGAGTAAAAAAGCAACATTTAAAAAAATTATTACTTCAGAAGCTCACTTACAAATATTTGAAAGACATCTTTACAATTTCAGGATAATTGATAAACATCCCATCATTCAGACAAAAAAATAAGTAACTTTCAAATTCTGTAGTCAAGTCATATTGACTTTACATTACAAAATCAGGACAATGCAGGTTCTCAACTTCTGCAATCAGGAGAGACAGGAAACAAATCATGTAAAACTCACCAGGGCTCATAAAGAGTCCTGCACAGACCATAGATTTGACAAGTGTGCATAGTTAGCAATATTTGCCCCAAAACAGCATTTCTTGAGTGTTAATTTGCTGCCATTACTTGTTACAGCATAATCATTTGATTGCTGTGGAAGGCGGCTATGATCAATTTAGTGGAAACTAATGCCTAATGCCTTGGAATGGGAAAAAAAATCCCTAAATTGTCAACAACAGGCCCGTGGATAAATTTGTACTTGTACCCCAGCAGTCAACAGTTGGCTTATGCCCAGGGGAAGCTTTAGCAATACCTCCTATCACATGCTCAGTGAGAACAGGGCTCTGATGTCAAGGACAACCCACATCCTCTTTCCGAGGCTGGCATGATAGTAGCTTGGCTCCACTGATGAATGGGTTTGATAGATTTCATACCTTACATCAAGCCAAGGCCACAAGCCTTGTTGTATCAGGAACTAAAACAATGCATGTTTTGAAACAAGCTGAACCATTATCATCCCTCCCTAGCTATGTGTTGGGCTGCCTCTAGACTGGCAAGCCCACCTTAAGGACTGATACTTCAAAATGCCAATTAAGTTGGTGGTATCCTGTGTGTAGACTCTTGTGGAAGTCCCAACTGCTAGTGGGTTGTGAGTACACACATTTCATTAGAGGTTTTTAATTACCATCACCAAATGCTTCAACTGTATTTAACCTGACTAAAAATATCAAATGTTTCTCCAAACACTTATACCTTTTGTTTCCGTTTCTTTTCTTTCTTCAGTTCTCTAATAGCCTCCATTTTTTTTTCTTTTTCCATCCTCCTCCTCCTCGACTTCCCCATTGCTTTTTTGCCCGTTTCATCCTCAAAATTACTTTTGTGTTTTTTGTATCGTTTCAGAGAGGTTGGCAAAATTGCCACCTGTGAACCCAAATCCAGCTCGTTCTGAGTCGCATCAGACTTCTCATCTATTTCAAGGTTTTTGTGATCTAATGTGTCACCAATATCACTCTCGTCACTGTCCAGCAGAGCCTGGCGAATCCGATGTTTTTTGTTCTTTCGGGCAATAAGATGCTCCTTTTCCTCCCCGCTCTTGACATCTTCAGCTACAGTGTCTGCCTTCTCAAGGGAGCAGCCTCTCTCTTCCCCTTCACTCTCACTGTCCTGAAGCACCTTTTTGCTTTTAGATTTTTTACTTACAAAAATCTCTTCCTCTGAATCTGGTAGAAACATAGAGCATTCTTTATACCACAGATCACAGATTGTTTATAAAAATTCATAGGTCCATTACCAAATGACATACTATGCCAGACACTGTTCTCCATTCCCAAACCAATTAGTAACATTCCTGTGTTTTATGTAGCCTGTTTCTTATGTAACCAAAGCAAACAGTAACATACTGAAAGAAAACTATAATGGACATGCCATGGTCCCAATCCTGCAAACATTCATGCTGTTCTATACAGAGTGGTTCAATAAGAGCCAATGTGAAAACTGCTTTTTCTACTACGTGATAGCTAAATAACAACATGCATTCCTACTCTAACTGCTCTTTGTAAATGCATGATTTCTTTTTTCTTTTTTCCTGTAACACAAATGTTCTTTTTCAGGATATATAGAAAAACCTTAATGGAGCACTTCCTGATCTTCTTTTATTTGAGTTTCAGTCCAAAATCCCAAAAAGTACAGGGAGAACAATCTGCTGCAGTGTAGCAGCAACCTTAGCAGCATTTCAGTGACAGAATATATAGTTACTTAAATGTAATTTTAGTTTATGTTTTCTGTGTAAAAGCCTTGCAGCCCCATACTTAAAGCTACTAATGAGGTTAGCATGAAAATTTTAAGTATATTATGGTTTAAAAATTCAGGTTTGAGATCAGGAAGAAACTGATTCATCCTGGTACTTCAAATGTTGACATGCAACACAATGTATTTTCAGGATCCCATTTTATCCTGTCACTTCCCCATCCAAGCACACAAGAAAAGGGAAACAGCACTGAGCTCTAACTTTAAACCATGATTAATCTACATTACAACTTTTATCCAAAAGTGAAAATTTCCTTGTAAAAAGCATGATCACAGATATCTACTGTGCTCAGGGTATTCAAGGGGACATCAGGAAATTTAGAACTTGTTAATGGTATGTTTACAGACAAATTCTGCTCTCAAGGTACAAACTCTATATTCTCATTTCCCCGTCCCAGAAGCGTTTCAATTCAGCCAGACTAGAACTTCATAAAACTTAGAACTAACCCCCCCCCCCACCAAAACATACACACACATTCAAGTTAAAGGAGTCGGATTCACCTGGGTTAACTATGCAACTCATAAGAAGGCAAGGAAATAAAGCAATTAAGATATTCAAAACCCCATCCCCATTTCCTGTTCTCAACCTCAGCTACCACCTTTTTACCATTTACAGATCTCTACCCACATCCTGAAGAACAAAGGAGGCACTCTGAATTCAAACCATATGTATCAGTATATGTTAATGCATTGTGATGGTTAGTATACAGTTGGTGTGGTTCTCTCAAGCTACATCGTACATAGCCGAGTTTCATTTTCAATGAACCGGTAAGCACAATGCAATGTCAGACTGCAAATGGTGGCTGCAAGATATCTTCTCATGTAATATCTAGAAAACTGCATTTGATTGTGTAATTTGTAATAATTGTCCTGAAGTTAAATTAGTAAATATTTCAGAATTAGAAGTCTGGATTCATGCATGAATAGTGACTTCTGTTAATGCCAGCTATAAGTGTGCATTACATACATACTCTTGACAGTGAAATATGTCAACAGTAAACATTACATATGCCACATCTTTATAACCCAACAAGGAAAAAATACTTCATATAGAGAGCATGGAAAATATTCATAGACTTCAGGGCTGGAAGGGACCTCGCAAGATCATCGGATCCAGCCCCCTGCCCAAGGGGCAAGAGGTCAGCTGGGGTCAGATCATCCCAGCAAGATAGCCATCCAAGCATTTCTTAAAAGGTGTCCAGAGTAGGTGCTTGCACCACTTCTGGGGGAGTCTATTCCAGACTCTGGAGACTTGGACAATAAAGAAGTTTTTCCTTATGTCCAGTCCAAAACAGTCTTCCAGCACTTTGTGACCGTTAGACCTTGCCTTTCCTTGGGGTGCCCTGGTGAACAGTTTCAAAAGAAACATTGCTTCTAATATGAAGAAAAGTACAGGACCACGTTCTCTCAACCTTCTGCAAAGGTAAAACTATAAAGCACAGAGAACAATACCAATATTTAGGGGGGGGAAGAGAAAAACCTCACATCTAACAATAGAGATCTTTTTGTATTACAGACCTCTGTCATCAAGAGACGCAACTTCCTTGTTGGAATGTCCTGGAGAACTTGTTTCACAGCTGCCCTGTCCGCTGTCAGAATCATCGTCATAAGCTTTCTGCAAGTCAGGTGTTAGCTCCTCTACACCTAAGCAAAGCTAAAAGCCAAGAAAAAAGTTTATTTTCATACAGCATGAGCTATTTAAGTTAGAATAATTCATTGACCTGTTTCATCCCAAATTATAGTCATAGGAAAGCACAGACCTCCCAAGGTCATCTAGTCTAGCCACAATCATCCCTGACTAAACTATCCCAGCCAAGTTTTGCCCAACATGCTCTTGAAAGTGTCCAGGGATGGGGCTCCCACAGCTTCTCTAGGTAGCCTGTTCCAATGTCTGACCACCCTCACGGTCATCAATTACTCATTGATACTGTAGTCGTAAGATTTATTTGGGTTTCAGACATTCAGAAAAAAATGACTATATGCTATATCATTTCCATTACTGTACAGTTCCCTTGTGAAATTCTTAGTTCATATCAAAGCAAAAAACAAATATTGGCCTGGACACTGTCTGGTGGCCACAACTTGAAACTAGCCAGAAACTCACAACTTTCACATGCCATAAAAATACTTTATGAAACTTCACAAAAACCAGAATCCTCACAGTTGAGTAACAAAACGTTCTTCATTGTTCTGCACAAGGGGAAAAGTGCAGGGTACTGGAGAGATCAGCATCCCACCTCCCTGGCCCCATCCAGCACAGGGCTGAGCCCACCCAGCTGCAAGCAAGGCCACCAGGTAGCCCCAGGGCCGTGCCCACCCAAGCATGCTTCCCAGCATGCCCCGCGGGCCAGCGCCCCCAGCATGCACTGGGACAGCGCCGAGGAGCATGCTGGGAAACGTAGTCCTCTTCGGGGCGCGGGACCTACACGCCGCCACGGCTGCTTTGCGTCCCGAGCCAGCCTCCCGGGAGGTGCCCGCAGTGCGGGCAGCGGCTCCCAGCCGGCCGGCGGAGCGGAGCAGACCTACCTCAGGCGCTGCCGCCGCCATGGCGCTGCTCGACCCCGCTGTCCTGCAGCCCGCCAGCAAAGCCGCTTCGATTCTTCGCGCTCTGCCTGGGGCTGATCCCGCCTCCCAGCCGGAACCAATCACCGCTCGCTCCAACTTCGAGGCCCCGCCCCCTCTGATCGCCCCATTGGGCCGTTAGCTCAGTAAACCCCGTCCCCCCGCTCAGCTGTCCAATACGAGTTCCATTTTAACAGGATGTCTCTGTGCCGCCGCCAATCCTCTCCCTCCGTTGGCATTCGTCTGCTCTGTGGAGACGGCGGTGCCCAGCGCGGGCCGCTCTAGCTGGGAACTCTATGGTCTTGGCCCTAGGCATTGCCAGAGTCATTCTGCACAGGCCTCCTAGGAGCAGCTGGGACTAGCCCGGAGCAGGGCTCAGGGACACCTGCCAGGCTGTGCCCCTTGGGGGGGCATTCCCAGGGTGCCCTAACGTGACCTGAGCAAATGACCTGATAGAATATTTTTTTGCATTGCGCTGGAGTTGGCCTGGTGCATGCTGTGCCTCGTACTCACAACAAGGCCGGAGCCCGAGCCTGCCATGTCCTGCCAGAGCTGACATTCACCCTGCTGTCGTAGCTGGTGTTTCATCTGTGCTGCCCGACAGAGCCTGAACTTGCTCGGATTGACGTCGTGTTGCAGGATCTGCAGGACACCTTGGAAAGAAGCTGGGTCACCAGGGGACCCAGAGGCTGTTCAAGCCACTGGGTCGGGGATTAAACTGAGCCCCCCGCTGTCATGGTGCTTCTGCTCAGCCGCTTGCCGGCTCGGATCAAGTGTAGTCTCGCTGCCCTGGTCTGGTGCCCGATTCGAAATCGATTTACGTGGGGCTGTGCGAAATTTCACCACCAGTTTTGTTTCAACACTGTTTTGGCCCATTTCAAGGTCCAAACGGCAAAACTGAAATGGAACAGATATGGTCGAAACAGCCGCGAACAAAAACAAGGCAAGTCAAAACGTTTTGACGTTTTGCCCATAAGCTATAATGGGGAAGGTTGAAACAGCCTATAACTTTGTCATTTCTGGCCTGATTTGGATGAAACTTGCAGGAATGGTCGCCCCTTCTGAGGGCATGAAGTGTGCCAAGTTTCAAGAAGATAGGTGCAGGGGGCCAGAGAAACTGCACCCCAAAGTGTTGAGAGCCAAACTTGTGTCGTGTATGTGTTAAGCCACAGTGGGGTGAAAACTGCAGGAGTGGTGGCCCCTGCTGAGTCCACAAAGCCTGCCAAGTTTCAAGGAGATCGGTGCAGGGGTTATGGGTTCTGGGCCATACATCTAGGGATCAGTAAACAACTATTCACCAGGGCACCCTTGGGGAAAACTAGAAGTAATGGTCAGTCTGGACACCCTAGTTGTGAAGTAATTTTTCCTAATGTTGAGCCTGAAACGAGCCTGCAACTATCTTCCAGTAGTTTCTGACCATTACTCCTAGTTTGTTCACCGAGCCCTAGATGCACGCTTCTGATGTAGTGGTAAGCTACTACCAAGTTCCCCCTCAGCCTTCTCTTTTTCACCCTGAAGAGCCCCAAGTCCCTCAGCCTCTCTCATATGGCTTGCTGTGCAAGTCTCTGATCATATGAATGGCCCTTTTCTGGACTCTCTCAAGCTTTACCACATCCTTGTTAAGGTGTGGAGCCCAGAACTGGATGCAATACTCCAGCTGCGATCTCACCAGTGCTGAGAAGACCCGGGTAGAGCAGGAGAATCACTTCTTTGCAATGGTTTTGCTGGAGATGCGTCAATTGATGCATGCCAGCGTATTGATGGGCCTGCTGGCTGCAGCATCACACTGCCGGCTCATGTTCATACTGTGGTCAATTATTACCCCCAGGTTTTGGTGACAAGTGATGGGGGATCTTCAGTCCTGTTGCCTGATAAGTGGCAGCACTTGCACAAGCACCCATGTCACGAGTTTTGCCTGTCAGCAGCTAGGGTTGCAGGGCCCCAGAAAACCCCTGCACCAATCTCCTTGACAGCTAGCAGGCTTTGTGACCGCAGCAGCGGCCACCATCCCTACAGCTTTCATCCTGCCGCGCCTTAACACACACAGTGCCACAAGTTTTGCCTGTCAGTAGCTTGAGGTGAAGTTTCCCCAAACCCCTGCACCTATCTCCTTGAAATTTGGTAGCCTTTGTTGCCTCAGCAGGGGCTACCATCCCTGCAGTTTTGACCCCACTGTGGCTTATCACAAACACATAAAATTTTACAGAATATTAAAATAAGATGGTACTTCTACGGGTATGTCTGCTGCCTTCCTTGCTCTTGCTACATGTTGTTCTGCATCATAAAGCCACTGCAGAGCCAAACAAGGTGTTGAGCACATCATGCTGAGCTGGTGGGGGAAGGTGCACCATTAATCTAAAACCACATAGCGTTTTTTTAACTTGTATTTAAATTAAATAGCTTTATTCTACAGAGAAAGCAATGGTTCACAAAGTCTCCCAGACCTCACAGGGCAGTTATAATTTATTGGAGCAGCATTCTGACCCTGCAGGAATGGAGAAGCTAGATCCTGGCATTAGAAAAATCTCCAGTGAGTAAAGTATCTTGAAGATGTTGTTTACCAAGTAATGCAAGGCTAAATAAGTGTTCCAGGGAGAAATGGGGAACCAGCAGTCGCTGTATTTTAGTGTCAGATGGAATAATGAGTAATGATATTCAGCTCCTTTACTGTGTGGTATTTTTCATCTGTAGACTTTAAAGTGCTTTTGAAAAAGAGGGCAAGCAAGTCTGTGAATTAATAAAGGATTTTGAGTTCTTTTGGCATGCTGTGTAAATACAAACAAGGAAGAAAAATAGGCCTGCTGGTGCTTCCAGGAAAGTCAGTCTGTCCCTTTTCTGCTCAACCTCATGTTTCAAGGCTGCCTATATAGAAGGGACCGAGCCAAGCCGAACGCTTTGCAAGCTGCTATTATCCTTGATACATGACAGTTTGGCTTCTGTTGCTACTAAACTCTTTAACTGCTAGATGGCAACACAGATTAAGGGAGGCGACACTGCAGATCACAGATTCCTGGAAGTTTGGGATTTTTCTGGATAGACACTGCCAAAAGAAACATGTTAACAAATGCTGAGGTCCATTTACAGTCAAACATAGAGCTGCTTTGGTATGTTGGAAGAGCCTGGGAAGTCACAACAAGCTTGTTGTGAAAAAGATGCCTACAAAGGGATTGGATCTTAAACAGCAACAAGGGAAGATACAAAATAGCAATCACTAGCCAGCCAAAACTTTTTGTTTTAGATAAAAGAAAGGTCATGGGGTGGAAAAGGAAAGGGCACTTAGCTGCTCAGTCTGAAAGCTCATACCAACATGGAAGAAACCTAAAATGTGAAGTGTATTTGAAAATAAAAGAATGGAGCAGATGAACTGTTAGATCAGGGGCGGGCAATTATTTCGGGCAGAGGGACACTTACTGAGTTTTGGCAAGCCATCGAGGGCTGCATGACAGGCAGCCAGGGGCAGATAAATATTAATTTTCTCAATTTTTTAGGGGCCCTGTAGGCGGGATAGAATGGCCCAGTGGGTCACATCCAGCCCTCGGGCCGCATTTTGCCCACCCCTGTGTTAGATGAAGAGGTGGATCCAGAGGGGGTGCAGCAGCATGGTTGCATCCGCCTTTACACATGCTGCATGCGAGTTCTCAGAATGGTGTCTGCCCAAAGACCCTATTTTCACACTGCTCTGGAATCAGGGGTGAACAGTCTCATGCTCATCCCCTCCTTTCCCCTGCTCTGAATTCATTGCCTGGTAGGGGGAGAAGGCAGACAAACCACAGTGTCCACCCTCTGGATTCCAGAGCCACCTGAAAGCACAAATTCCAGCCACATCGTGCCCAGAACAGCTGGATCATACAGAGCTCTGGAACAAGCTGGGGACCACTGACTAAGCAGCAGCTCTGCAGAAAACCTGTGGGTTACAGTGGACAATAAGCTGAATTTGAGCCAACAGTGTGCCCTTGTTGCCAAGAAGGCTAACAGCATACTGGGCTGCATTAGTAAGTGTGTTGCCAGATGATCAAGGGAAGTGACAGTTCCTCTCTATTTGGTACTGGTGAGGCCACATCTGGAGTAGTGCCCAGTTTTGGGTCCCCCACTGTGGAAAGGATGTGGACAAATGGAGAAAGCCTGGAGGAGGATTAGGGGGCTGGGGCAAATGACTTCTTGAAGAGAGGCAGAGGGAACTGGGCTTATTTAGTCTAGAGAAAAGAAGATGGGGATTTAATAACAACTTTCATCTACCTGAAGTGTGGTTACAAAGAGAATGGAGCAAGTCCAGGGGTGGGCAAAATACAGCCCACAGCCTGGATCTGGCTCGCAGCTGTCCCGTGAAACTGCTCATGGGGCCGAGCACCATTGAAGCTGGTCCACACTGCACTCCAACCTGCACCCACCCCGCACCTGCCAACAGCACCGCCCCAGCCAGTATGCACAGCTTCCTAGCAGCTGCCCTGGTAGTACTTGACTCCATGCACCTCCAGCAGCTCCTCCTCCTCTTCCTCCTTCCCCTGCTATGCTGCTCCAGGACCACGTGGCATGTCAGGCAGCACATGCCAAGCCAGGTAGGGGGAAGCTGCAGCTGGGCAGCTCCTGCCCCAGCACGTGGGGCTCCAGCTCCAACTCCTGGTTGCCTTCCACCCACTTGGCCACCTGGCATGATAAGCAGCCATCTGCGGGTGGCCAAGTGGGTGGAAGGCAACCCCACTGGAAAGTTGTGTGCACTGACCAGGGCTGGGGCAGTGCCACTGGCAGGGACAGGGCAGGTGCAGGCAGGAGTGTGGCACAGTCTGACCCTGGTGGCAACAGGAAGGGCAGGGCTGAACCGCACTTGCCCCTGCACTGCACTACACTGCACTGCCTAGGCAAGCTCTGCTGCATGCATCCCCTTTCCCTCCTCCCTCCCCACAGCCCTGGCCAGGTCCGGGTACCTACTGCATATGCAGACCGCCGCACACACTTGCACCCCTTCCCCCCCCCACACACAATATAAACAGTAAGACTATTTTGAGCTATTATGCAATTGCCTCTATATATACCACTCAACAAAACATAAATCAGGACCAAAAATATTT